CATGAAGTTAATACCTCAGCTACTTCTTGGCCTTTATCAAAGCATCTTTGTTCTTTTTCACTTGCTAAGTTGATACCCCAGCTTGAGAACCACCTATATAATTTATGTAGATATTTAAAAAAACAAATGGTTTTGTTTAAAAACTATGTGTCTTCACTTGTGTTTTTAAAATGTTTAAATTTCGTAAAAAGTATTTATCATCTGGATTTTTGTAGTTATTTATGTTATATTTCATATAATATATGTATTTCATTTCGGTGTGTTTTGATGATCTAGTGATAAGCACCCAAAAAAGTTTTTTTTAATTTTCAAAACTACGAGTATCTTGTGTTTTTATTTTAATTGTATTCGTATATACCTTCTAAGATGCCTTGTTTTATTCCAAGGTAACCCAAGCTCTGTTTTCATGGCAAGCCCTTCATCAGGAGGAATATCTAAAGCCAGACCAGCTTCCTTTACAATCAGTTGTCGCTCGTCTTTACGAAGTCCTTTCAACTCAGTTGCAAGCTGAACTCTGGCGCTTATTTGGTCGTCATCATCTGTACTGGAACTTTGCTGTCGGAAACACTCCACCTCAGACGCACGACGTTGTCGAGTTTTTGTACACACTTCAGAGCTATTTTTGTGTGCTGCAGTGGTGACAGAAAGCTTGATAGGCTATGTGAATAAAATGGTTTTCATTTGATCCAAATATCGAAAGTAGTTTGTGTTCGTTGTTTCTAGCTATAACATAATTTTCCCATTACAACAGTTTTATAGTGCAATATGGGTAGAAACATGTTTTAGTTTGTGACATTTGCATCCTCTTTTTATGAAGAACGTATATTTTAGTTATAAATTGTCACTTACCGTTCCTCCTGTTTTCATAAAGATGTGGGATTTATTTTGAGTTAGATTTAACTTTCTTTTAATTAGTTGTGTTGCGAGCCTTTCCTCGTGCTTATCAAGGGGTTCAGTCAATGGTTTGACGAGAAGTTGTGGAAGTGTTGTCGTYGGTCGTTCAGGAATATATTCTTTGCAATTGTATTGGTGATCGTCCAGTTGTTCGAGAGCTATAGGTTGTTTGCAGACGGAACACAGTACCAGAAGTGAGCGCAAGATGTTTATTAGAAGTCGGGGTGCTTGTTGAAGATCGAAGGCAGAGATAGGAGTAACGCAAACRGGGCATTTAGCATTTTCACCAGAGTGTTCCAACCACTTGTGGATACAGTTTTGGCAGAAAAAGTGTTGGCAAGAAGACTGAATCGGCATGTGCAATACTTCTTTGCAAACCGGACACAGAACATCGGGAGGTGGATTTAAAAAGCGCGCAATTTCGGGAGTTGAATTAACAACTTTTGKTGGTAAAACTTCATTTGGTATTTCGATACTCCATTTGGCGTTTTCAACTTCGACCGCTTGTTTTTTCGGAGGCCGACCTTTTCCACCAGTTTTTTTTCTTTTTCTACCCCCACGCTGTTTGCATTCAAAATATTGGCATATCTTGCAGCCGTCCYCTAAATGCTCGTACCACTTAAAAACGTCAATAGTTCCTCGGCTTAAGTAGCAATTGTTACAAAGTTTGGTAGGGTAAATTTTGGGATCATCAGTAGTAACATCAACTTCATAGGTAAGTAATATTTTGTCCTTGATTTCTGAAGAGGTTGTGSTGTAAAGATAGTTTTTACTCTTTTCGCCTTTGAAAAAACCGCATATACGGMAAGATTTTGCAAGGCAATTCTGGTGGTATTSACACTGTTGCGAAGTGACTGATCCTGACATTGTAACCTGCAATGTYKCAATACCKCCGTGAAAAAAATGTAAATAGAGCAAGGTAGAGAAATTATGAATGTTCATTGTGTATTGTGTTCAGCAATGGCTCACCTTCTCATGGGAAAACTTCCGGTGTTGTAAAAATTTTGTCTTGAAAAGTGACTATTTCGTGCGTTTCCGCGAAGTATCGAAAAGAGATTTTTTCGGCCACTCGACGATTTCACTATATTAAATATGGTTTTTGACCATTTTGAAAGTAACAGCAGTGTAAGAAACAGTGACACTACTAATTTACGTCTNTTGCGGGAAGAAGCATGCGGAGTTCCAAATCCGATAGCAAATCGTCAATATCAAAGTTCGTCAAAGGAATGATGTCAAACGTATTTTGAGCTATAAACAAATCGTCACTGTTCGACATCGTTTCCAGAATGACTGCTAAGAATATTTGATAACAATATTCAAATTTCGATTGCTCGCTTTCGCATGAACAGGTTTTCTTAAAGGAAACTAATTTCAACAGTCCATGAAAAAGTCTCAAGAGAAGAGGATTCTATTGTTCGAAACCCAACTAAGAAAACATTCATTAAGTCTATTCAGTTTTTGCTAAAACCACGTGAATTGAAAACTAAAGTGGAATTTTAGCTACCTGGAAATCAAGAAAAAGTTTTTTCTTGCTTGAAATACAAAGATAGCGAGAAAAGAGAAATTTTTATTATTTCATGATAAAATCGAGGCTTTTACCGATATTTTTTTTCGTTTCACTCCAAATCAAAATACAAAGAACCAAAGTTGTTCTATTGGATCGCACCAGAAGTATTAGAGTGCCGAAGTCCACCAACAGTCGAGAGCGATGTCTTTGCCTTGGGACACATCATCAAGAATGTCACTCGAAATGCCATGAAGATAAAACGCCCTGAACTATTTTCGTCTTGTCTGGCTACAGATCCTCGTGATCGTCCCCATAGCGCACAAGCAGTGGCAGCGTCACTGAACGAATTTAGAAGAAACAATTTAAGATAAAACCTCGCTGGACAACTAATATAAAATCGTTGTTCAAGGTCTTAATTGATAACGCATATTTTACTCTTTTTCACTTTGTCCTACTAAGTATATGACAAGCATTTCAAATTTTCTTTAATTAACTTAGAAGTAGGCCCATACTATGCATTTTTTAACGTGTTTTTTTTTCAGTAAAAGAATTATAATGATAAAACAAAGAAAACAACCGAGGATTTTTATTGCTTAGATGAGCTATATTAATTATCATATTAGTGCTAATCTCCAAGTGTTGTAAGCGTCTTTGTTCGATCGCAAATACAGTCTGAATGCTTAATGAATCTAAGGTAGAGTGAATCTACCTTAGCCTAATTTACATATAATTTTTGGTTGGACCTAAGCCCCTCATGAAAGGGATACAAGTCGAAGTTCAATTTCTACATGAGAACTATTGCTGATTTCGAGGATTACATCGACCCTGTTAATGATATAATTTTCGAAACCTGTTAACCACACTGTTCGGTCAAGATGAACCACTGCCTGACTTGCAGCAGGAGATTATCACATTGGCTCCCTCAAAAGGTGGCTTAGGTATAACAAATTTGAAAGATGATTCACCTCAACAATACCCAGCATCTAAGGCTATCACAGCTATTCATGCTCGCTCTATTATTGACCAGAGTTCTACATCACCCGACTTTAATACAATAGAAGATCTGAAAAGTCAGCAACAAGCTCTCAAGAAAGGAACAATCNCTCTGGTTAAGTACTTCAGTGTTGCTTCAGGCAGTCCATAAAGAATTGCGTTGCAATAGTCCAGTTTGGATGCTATCATGGTATGGACCATGGCCTTGGCTGCTTTATTATGGCGCGTTTTTGGGGTCAAAATTCAAATTGTGTATTTTCAGCATTATGACTTGTGAAATGGAATGTCTTCCTGCATGACTACTTTTGAAAACTGTCTGATTTTCAATCATGATTTGTGAAATATGTTTTTTGACGAATTGATTTGTGATTGTTGTCTTGCATTAAAACTTATGACTTGCAAATTGTTGTACTTGTTGGCAGAGTTTTACGAAATGATGCTACGTCAATCCATTTTCAATGTTCTTTTGACAATAACGAGAATTTCCCTTCCTCGAAAACTTTTTTCAAGAATGAAAGGTACTGRGCAAGCAGAGCTATCTTAGTAGCCAGTTGGGAAAGCCGCTGCTCCGTGTTATTTCTGAAATCATCGATATTACTTGCGAATTATGTTCTAATGCATGATTTGCGAAACATTTTCACGCCAGGCGTTCCTTGTCAGCCGATACACAGGTAGCCCACATAGTCGACTTAATTTAGAGCCTGCAGTTTAACCATACAGCTGTAAATCAAAATGGCGGCAGTCGAGCAACTACAGTTTTTGGAAAGACTTCGCCATGTCCTTCTTGATTTATCGATAAGGTTAGAGCAAGACGTGAATGATGATCTAGTAGACTACGTTATTTTTGGAATGGATCAAATATCTCATCTTCGTAGAATGAGTATCGATACACCAGTGTTTGATGAGGTGCAAAGAGAACTTGCAGTTGTTACTTCTTTATTGAGATCCGAAACATCAGCAACAGAAGGAAATATGCATTCCGTTGTTCCATATACAAGTCAGCCTAACACTGTGGGACGTCCGAAATTTGATATTTCGATGGAACAGCTTCAGTATCTTGTTAATTGGGATTTATCCAGTAGAGATATTGCCAATGCTTTAGGTGTAAGTCAAAGCACTATCAAAAGACGGCTTCGTGAGTACGGGATCTCCGTCAGGGGACAAACAAGCGAGATCACAGATGCTAATGTAGATGCTGCTGCCAGAGAGATCCAGTCCCAGTTTCCAAATGCAGGATATAGAAGGGTGCACTCGCAGCTTTTGGTCCAAGGTATTAGAATCTCCCAACTTAGACTTAGGGAATCTCTAGAGAGAACTGATCCGGATGGTATAGCAATGAGATGGCTCAAGCAAGTTATTGTGTGAGCGGACCCCTAGCTTTATGGCACATTGATGGCAACCATAAATTGATCAGGTAAGTATGCAAAAAATAGTTCCACATCTTCACTGCATACTCATTACCTCATCCGGAATGATTAAGTTATGGGGAGCGAAATCCGCGGATGCTGAGGTAATAGGTATGCTTAGAAGAGGTGAATGGTACACCGCCACCAGGGGGAGGGTGGGGCAAAAGCTGATGTCTTCCTCCGTTCAACTGATTGAGTGTTTCTTGATCCGCCGGTTGCGTGAATTTATACTCTAGGTGTGCAGGGGATGCCGGGTAATGCTTATACACGAGATCCCGTTGAAATTTAGGGTATTACATAATCATTTGCGGTGAGCTAATTAATTATGCAGTGAAAATAGTTCCACATCTTCACTGCATACTCATTACCTCATCCGGAATGATTAAGTTATAGGGAGCGAAATCCGGCTACTGCCCTCACCGCTAGGTTATTTATCATTGGAGTGTCGCAGGCGAGCGAAACTCGCACACTCAGCCGCTAACTACAAATAAAACTTCCCTTCTCTCCATTACTCAGAAACTCCCCTTCCTCAACAAATAGGGTTCTGGATAAAACAATACCAAAATTCCTCTAGCAAGACTCGATAGACTTTATTAGGTGGTACTCGAAGTGATACTTTGAAATGCTATTATCTAAATACCCCTTTAAAATAACCGTCTGGAGTGCCTTGTTCGTATTCCGCAAAACCAATTGCCTATTTATCGGTTTGAACTGTACGTGGTGCAAAGACGCATTCAAGGTTGTCGGGATGTGAAACCGAGAATCGAATACGGCTTTGCCTATCCTGTGCCAACTTAGTAAAAGTCACAGAGCTACCAGTCACTGATGAACTTATATAGCGTGTTACCGTTCCAGAACTCCTCCATCCCAAGTACTGAGATATTTCCTCCTTGGAGCAACCCAGCATATAAAGCGTGTTGGAAAGACCCACCCTACGACTATGGGGCGTTTCCCCGCCATCARTCCCAGCCCCTGAAAGATATTTATGTAAGCGATTACTAAAAGCGGCGCATAAGAACGGCCTAGTGCTTATGTCCTTCTTCCTATCTGTGGTCCTGAACAGGTAACCGTTATCTAAGTCGATGCCTAAGATACGACAAACTGATAGGTAATACTCCAAAAAACCGGGCAAACCCCCTTATCATGATCAAAAGGTTCCAATGCGAAAGAGCGTGCGCGATCGCCGCGGTAATTCTTAGTAAGTGTGAAAYGAAGTAAAAACCCCACCCGGTCTTTTAGCCTAAAAACCTGACTAGATTCCAGTCGACCCAAATCCGACGCGCGATCCCCTGTGAAAAAGTCAACTACGAGGAACGCAGCGTCCCTGACTAAGATATACTTGTCCGCTCTTGAAAGACTCGAGCTCTCCTGAATGCGATTTCTAAGATAACCTACAAGCCTAGTAAATTTCTCGAGGAACAATGGGACTGCCTGTGAAGGCACAACTCCCACACCGGCCTGTTCCTCCCGAACAAACTTCAAGTACTCTTTTACACGGGGATGCGCAGCCGGATTGGAGTCATTCAACCGTCCCATATTGTTAAAGATAGCTCTAATCTTGCCAAGCAGTGAGTCAACTGTCCCCGCGGCTAACCGGCGTGGGCACTGGCAACCTCTCCGGGAGCAGTTCTTAGAGTGGATCAGCGTCCTCTCCGACTTGTCTTTAAAAATCAAGAACTTTATGATATCCTCTGCATTGCACGAGGATATTGTTAAATTATTATTATTATATTAAATTATTAAATTAATTATTATTAAATTGTCTTTGGGGGGTTGAAAGAGGACACAAAGTCCTCAAACTCCTTTTGAAGGGCCGATTTCTGCCGTTGGTATGTTCCACTCTTTACTCTTTCCGTGAACTCATGGAACCTGTCGTTGATAGGCTTGTGTTGTACTCGGATCATCGAACTTATATTGCCTGTGCGACGAGAAGGATGGCCGCAAGCCTGGCAGAAGTTTGCGTCAAAGTCATTCGGATAGAGACAGGCGGTACAACGGCGAGCCGCTTTCCACGGTCTGGCAACCTGCAACAGGAGAGAGCGGAAAAAATTGAACAAGCGGAGTAGGTGTTTGCTAGCAAAGGCATCGAAAGGCCCACAGATCCCACTGTAAAGGGCGAGAGGCCCACGTTGAGCTGGGCTGGGCGCCCGGGAAAAGTAAAACTGCATGCGAACCCTTGTTTCCTAACAACAAACGGTCTACAACGAACGCTTGCAGAGTTGCCCACCAAAATG